TAACTCATTTATCTTTAGAACAACACTTTGAGGTAAGTACTATTGTTTATTCTCATTTTAGAACAGCACAGCAATTTTAAATAACTTGGCAGGTCACACAGCTAGTAAATGTCAGAGCTGGGGTTTGAACCCAGGCAGTTTGGCTGCAGAATCTGTACCATTCATTAACTGTAATGCTGTGCTGCCTTGATTTCTTTTTCCTGCGTCTTTATTGCGACATAGTGGAAGTACAATAAACTGTCCACATTGAAAGTGTACGATTTGATTAGTTTTGACATATGAATACACCTGTGAAACCACCACCACACTCAAGGTAACAGACATTTCCATCTCCCTAAATGTTTCCTCGTTACTTTGCAATTCATCCCTTTTTCCATCTACATCTTCAAGCAATAACTGATCTGCTTTCATGCATTATAGTTGTATTTTCTAGGATTTATAAAAATGGAATCATAAAGCATATAGTGCCTTTTGTCTGGCTTCTTTTCACTTCTTTTACCATAAAGATTTTGAAATCCATCCAAAATCACAGTATGTTGTTGTGTGTTTTAGTTATTCATTGCTTGTTATTGCCGAATAGTATTCCATTGTATCAAAATACCACATTTTTTTTTCCATTTACCTATTGATGGACATTTGCATTCTTTCTGGTATTTGGCTATTAGAAATAAAATTACTATGTTCAGTTGGGTAAAATCTTTGTGTAGACATATGTTTTTGTTTCTCTTGGGTAAATATTAATATCTAGGAGGGACTGTTTAATGTTAGGAAACTACCAAACTGTTTTCCCAAATGAATGTACCGTTTTACTTTCCCACCAGCAGTGTATATAACGGTTTCAGTTGCTCCACATCCTTGCTAACACTTGGTATGGTCAGGTTGTTTTGTTTTTTGTTTATAATTTTAGCCATTCTAATGGATATAGAGGTATTTTAGTTTTATTTGCATTCCCCTGATTAATGAATGATGATGAGCATTTTTGTTGTGTTACTATTTGTGTATCTTCTTTTTTTTTTTGAGACAGAGTCTTGCCCTGTTGCCCGGGCTAGAGTGCTGTGGC